GGTCAGCTGAAAATGTGTACCTATGGTTGGCCACCAGAACCCAAGCGCCGGCCATGGTAATGGTATGGGCCGCCATAACAGTCGACGGTCGCTCTCCGCTCGTATTAATCGTCAGAATAAATGCCGAATATTATCCCGAAAATATTCTGGAGGGTGTATTAAAATTTTGGGCACGCAAACATTTTGGCCGCAGACCTTGGACATTCCAATAGGACTCAGAACCATTGCGCTCAGCACTCGCCACACAAGAATGGTTACAAAATGGGGTTTCTCGCTTAATTTCCTACGCAATGGCCACCAAAATCTCCGGATACCAATCCGTTGAACTATTGTGTCTGGAGGGGGGTCGAAAATGGTATTGGGCTGTTTTTCTTTTTATGTAGTTCGATATTCTTACGAGATTTATGTATTGCGAAATGCTATGGTTCCCTTCGCTGAGGAAAATGCACAGCTGTTTTGGGTGTTTCAAAGATTGATTGTGGCAGTCAAAAATCAGGATTTTATAATGGCCAGCACAATCCCCAGATCTTTACCCAATAAGAAAATTTTTGGTGTATCATAAATAGCAAAATCAAAAGAGTTTCGCAACAAACATGGCATACCCAAGGATCAAATTGAGCATTTAATTGATTCAATGCATCGTACGTGCGCTGCCGTAATCAAAATAATGACAAATAGCTGAATTTACATATTAGGTTAGGGGAAAAGAAATTGTTTTTTTTTTTTTTTTTTTTGTAATTGGTTTAAAACTGTATTATGGTCGATTTTTAGCTCCTGGGCGATGTTACAACTGTTAACATGGCGGTCAACTTCAATCATTTCTCCGATATAATCGACACTTTCGACGACCGCCATACCTTTGCGAGGTGCATCTTCAACATCAAAAATTCCTGAACGGAATCTACGAAACCAAAATTGCACATAATCGGCTGTTACGGTAGCGGAACCATAAACACCATTCACAATTTTAGCCGCTTGGATAGCATTTTTGCCTTTGTCAATGAAAAATCTGTAAAATGTACCGAATTTTCTCTTTGTTCACTTCCATTTTTAACATTCTGTAACTCACAACTGAATGCAGCAAACAAAAAAAAGCAAGATAATTTGTTTTACTGCGAAATGTCACGCTTTCAACGAGAATATCAGTACCGCCATCTGCCGGAAAAACAATGGATTTCGTTTTCTCCAAACTAATATTTATAAGAAAAATACTCAAAGTTGCTTTAGTTTTCACCAGGCAAAAATTGGGTCAAATTACTTTTCCATGTAATATTTTTTTTCAAAATAAATTTTTGCGTTTATACTTTTTTTCTATTTATAAAAAATCTTTCACCATAATTTTATTTTTTAAAAATGTTACCGTTACATTTATTCAGTTTGCAATTTTAGTTGCTTTAGTTTTGACCACCAGTGTGTATCTTGACGCCGAATTATAGGTGTAACATTGTAACTCCACTCAACAATTTCTATCCAATGCTGCATTTTATTTTTGAACTTTCTTCCCTGGCTCAAGCCAAGTCAATTATATATGCATATACAATTACATTGCATTGTGTGAATAACAATTCGGAATCGTGGTTTCCTTTCACTTTTTCTTGCGTTTTGTCCTGTGTATCCTTTTACGCAAACGAAACCAAAAAAAGTACAAAAGTTTTGTTTCGAAAACCACCAGATGATTTTTTTCCACTTGAATTTGCATTTTAACAGACTTTTCTATGTGGAGTTTCGAGTTTTTTTGTTGTTTTTTTTGATGATGGTGTTAATTTGAATTTATATTCACTTTTCAAGAGAACAAAAAAGCACACGCACACACACACAAAATAATATCTGCAAATAAAATACATATATGCAATATAGCAAAGGAAGTTTTTAATCGCATTGAGGTTATTTGAAGTATGCATAAGGTTATAAATGGTATCTATGCATAAGGAGTGCACCCACACACACACACACACATACATAGATAGACAGATAGAACTTGAGCATAATGGACGACTTTGATATTCAAATAGGGAAATTATAATAAGTTTTGGACAAACCATTACTATATGCTTGAGAACATTTAAATAGATACCCAGACCTTTTTCGAATTTGTCACAGTACGCCACCCATGGTTATGGGCCAATATTTATGGGGTCAAATGGTCCACGACTTTTTTATTGAAACTTAATATATATAACAGTATACCCCAGAGAATAAAAATATCACGAAAGTCAAAGTACAATAGTGATTGGGTATTATATGATCGTCCCCATCTGATTAGATTGCTCACTCCGCCCACTGGTTTAAATTTATTATGGATTATATTTCCAGTCCTAAAACATCTACGGAATAAAAGTCCCGCCTACTAAAACCCTTCATGTTATGACTGATTACTATTGGTGGATGTGTGTTCTGGCTCAAAATCTTTAGTTTCATGTTTTTACAAAAACAAAAAAACATGCTGCTAGAGTGGTATAATAATGTCTAAACTAAACCTCTTATTTAATTTTTTATTTTATTTTTTTTTTTAATTTTCATATATTAAATATTTGTGTATTACATACAACGAGTTGTTGATTTATAAATACAACTCAGACTCATTAATTTTCCGCATATACAGCGAAATAATGATACCAGATTGGTTACAGGCTTATTAATTTCCGTGCGCAAAACTAAATCCCCTTATTCAAAATTGCGAAATTTTAAAATATTTTTACCTAGCATATGTCTGTATTTGTACATTTCTAATATAAATTTTTATCTACTATTATTTTCTCTTTCCTATATTTCCAACAACACCAACAATATAATTCTTGCATGCTTTGCTGATGATGATAATGTCGATGCAAACAAAATAAAAATCAAATGCCTGCTTTGGATAATGGATTTGGATGCAATGTGACGCCCCACATCTATATGTAAAATAAACGATTATGAATATCAAATACAACTCACACACACACATGACACCAACAACAACAACAACTTGCCAATGTTTTGAATCACACACAGGGATTCGGATTTGTTACCTTTGCAAATAGTGCCGATGCGGAAAGAGCACGTGAACGTCTACATGGTACCGTGGTTGAGGGTCGAAAAATTGAGGTGGGTGCATGTTTTGTTTATATTTATATTATTACTATCTGTATATATATTTTATAATTAAATTGCTTAAATTATGAAAATTTCATAATGAATTGTTGCACGTTGGGGGAATGATGGAGAATTTTATGGATAAATGTATTTTATTTTGCATCGAAATGGTAAAAAAATAGAAAACATATATAAATACGTAAACATATATAAATGCGTTGTTACATCGAAAATACAAGGTCTTATCGCCATCCATTTTTTAAGTATTTATTTATTCATCAAGGCAATCCCTCTCTGATATAATGCACTTATTCCAGCGAGTTTTCCAATACTCGAAATACTTCAAAATCTGCTTTTCGGTACTGCTTTTGGCCAACTGTTCCTATTCCGATTTTTCTTTTATACCCTCCACCATAGAATGGATGGTATATTAATGTTGTTTTTCCGTTTGTAACTCATCGAAATTATCATGTCTGCCTGTCTGTTGTAAACACTCTAGCGTCTAAACGAATTGAGATAGATCGCTAACATTTTGTATAGAGTCTCATCTTTTGTCTGCAGGCAGGTCAAGGTTGGGTGCCACCCAATTTTCGGTATATTAGGGTTCTTGAGTGCGCTCTTTAAACAAATTCACTGAAATTTGGTACAATAGGTTCTTATTGGATACCAATATTCTCCACTAAAATTTATAAATATAAGTCCACTTTTTCTTGTAGCACCCATATAACGGTACCCCCAATTTTCGGCATTTAGGGGTTCTTGAGTGCGCTTTTTAAACAAATTCACTGAAATTTAGAACATTGGGTCCTTCTTGAGTACCAATACTCTCCACTAAAAATTATAACAATCGGTTATTTTTTCTGGTAGCCCCCACCGTTATATGGGGCTACCAAATAACGGTAATCCCAATTTTTGTGGTTCTTGAGTGCCCTTTTAAACAAATTCATTGAGATTTGGTACAATAAGTTCGTAGGTGGTAACCAATATTCTCCACTAAAATTTATAAATATAGGTCCATTATTTCTGGTAGCTCCCATATAACGGTACCCCAAATTTTCGATATTTTGGGGTTCTTGAGTGCATTTTTCAAACAAATTCTCTGAGTCCAAATTTCTCCACTAAAACTTATAAACATAGGACCACTATATTTGGTAGCCCCCATATAAGGGTAATCCCAATATTTTAACCAAATTCGCCGAAATTTGGTGCACTGGGTTCTTATTGGGTACTAATACTCTCCACTAAAAATTATAACAATCGGTCCACTCTTTTGGTAGCCTCCATATAACGGTGCGCCCAATTTTCGAAATTGTGGGGCTTTTGATCTGTTTTTCAATCGAATTCACAGTAACTTGGCACTTTGCTTTCTTATGGGATACCAAATCTCCCCATTAAAAATTATAAATATAGGTCCACTTTTTTTAACACAACCCCCAAAATTTTACGTATTTTGAGGGCTTTGAGAGCGTTTTTGAAAATAATTCGCTTCAAGTAAAGAGTAAATATATGCGCCATAGAATACAAATTTTGTCATTTTTCACACAAAAGTCAGGGACCATTTGACCCGCTAAATATTGACCGATTTTTATCAAAACAGGCATGCTTATTCTTCGGTCCATAATTGCGACCTCTGGAACGACCAGAAAACCCGAATTAAGTAGTTGGTCCATTTCATTTCCTAAATATGAACCGATCTTTAACCCTTTGTGGCTCAATGTTGCCCACAGGCAACAAAATGTTTTAGAGCTTATATTTATTATACAGCTAGTATATATGCATTCTTCGGATTTCCTATGTCAAGACCTGATTATGGACGACACATATCACAAGAAAAATCTAAAAAAATCAAATTGTTGGTAAAGTTATAAGCTTTTTAATACAGAGAAGAGGGCAAAAATGTGTACAGTACTAATTTGTGTATACAGTCCAAATTATTTAAATCGCTTCGTATTCGAAATGTACGAATTCTGTCATCAGAATTAGTGTTGATTCTTGTAAAACAGAATATAGAGAATAATTTAAAATGATTTTTCGTCAATTTTGCATTTGGTTTTCTTGATATTGGGCTTTTATTTTCAGGAAGAATGTACTGTATCTCCCGAATGCAAGGATATAGCGATTTCAAATTTTGTCCATATCCTATCTAGGATAGTTGCATTAAATATGTGAACAGAAAATTGTTCTATGATTACAGAAAAAAATTCGGGGCTCAAAGGGTTAACAAAAACAATAGGGGGCGTCTTTATTGGCCCGAACCGGGCCAATCGCGAAGATTGGTCCATAGCTGTGGCATGTGTACAAAAACCGGTAAGGGTCTTCATTGGCCAGAACCGGTATAACATGCAAAATTTCATGAAGATTGGTTCATAGGTGTGCCCTGTAACGTGTTTACAAATTATACAGAAGGACGGATATACATATCTAAATCGACTCAGCTAGTCGAGATATAAGGTGGATCTAGGATAAATATTTCGTGGCGTTACAAACTCTTGGGGCTGCACAAAGATATAATACCCTTTCAACAACATAGTTGTGTAGGATAAAAATAACTAAAATTTTAGAGATTATCTGTTTGTACTGTACTGCTTTAGTTTTGTCCAAGCAAAAATTATAATTTATTTCATAATGAAAAAACCAACACGATATCTTTATTTCAGAAAAAGTTATTAACCTTTCAATTTTGGTTGCTTTAGTTTTGACCACCAGTGTTACTCCATCAAGTATTGAATAATTTCGGCATTATAATTTTGCTCCAACATTAAACATAATAATCTATGAACCCCAATTTATTTCTATCATAATTATCCAGCCCTCGGAGGTGGGCTGAACCAAATTTAAAGTTTTTTTTATTGTTCGAATATAATAGCTTAGAATAAAAATGAGTCAGTCGTCAGGTGGTGTTACCAATTACCGCATAGTTTCATGTCCATGCAAACAGTTTTGTAATCATATATGACAAATTGAGATTAATTTTCTATCCATCATCATTATAATAATTTGTATTATTGATATGTATATAATCCTATCAAATGCCATCGCATCTGTTGCATAAATAATGGGATTTACATTGAAAATTTGTATTTAATCTGAATCTCGTGACAAAAACATGTGACAGTTGGTAATGCCAATATTTATATAATAATTGGACAGAGAAAAAAAGTTAAAATGTATGCAGATTTTTCAAAAATATAAAACAATAATTATTCGTTGAAAATTAAATACGAAATACATTCACACACTTAAGGGGACCCCCCCCCCCCCTTCTCGGAGCCATTTCTTTTTTTTTTTTTTTTTGAGTTTATTCCAATCTACATTAATTCAAGAATGTCCCTACAAAATTTCAAGTGAAAATCTCAAGAACTCTTGAAGATATAGCCGATTTATTGTGTCACCATCAAGTGACGGCTAAAGGGCTTCTCAAACTTTAAACGCGTTTTACTCTTTTGCGAATGGCGGGCACGATAACTCAAAAACTAATAACCCAATCGATTTCAAATTTTTACACGTTTCTCTGTGAGTGTATAGCTATCGTATAAACAAGCCAATCGGTGAAGATCTTCCTTATTTTTTAACATGGTTTTTGGTCAAAAATCGGCGATTTTCCAAAAATATTTTTTTTAAAGGTCCGCCATTTTGTTAATTTTAGAGCGAAGTCAATAATCCTAGTTCATACGAGAGCCAGACATGTACACTTTCTAACACCGTTGGAATTTTCGGATTCCGATGTTCCAGTGAGGAGTTATCATGCCCGCCATCAAAAATAAGGACGTTTCTTTAATTACAAAAAACAACAACAAGACAACAACAGTTTTTTTTTTTTGTAAATTATTTTTCTTCTCTTTTATGTGTAAAGTTACAAACCTAAACAAGCAGTGGTATTGATTTACCAGCCCATTGGAAATCTTGAAAAATTAAAATCGAGAATGGGGGGGTGGGTTCCCTTTATATACATTTTGATATTGTGTGCGTGACTGTTCGTTCTAAATCTTGCTTGTTCGTCAGTATTGCCCGTACATCTATGTCATTCATCTGACATACATGAACATGTTTGTGTCATTCAATACTGATAGTGCTTGCGTCGCTTAAAGGATACACCAATAAACTAAACGTGTACATAACTTATTGATAAAAGCCAAGAGGTTGTAATAAAAATAGGCCAATTATCGAAATCTGATTTTCACAGCAAGGGAACGCACTAAAACTTACTTTTGTGACAACATAAAAAACCAAATGCTACGATTATGCTAAACACCCAGCAAACAATTTTTGACGAGTATTTTCCGAATCTTTAGACAAGTTTTCGTTGTTGCAGATTATTGTAGTGCCGGTGTAGATGTGTGGAGTACCCTCTCTGGCACTTTCATAAACATTACTTCATTTACATAGTATTCTCTTCACAACCAATTATTTTCCACTTGAAATGTTATTGGGAAATATTTAAAAGTTGGCAGAATTGTGTTAATACACACACACACTTTACATTAAAATAACAGAAAACTTGAATAGTTTATTTTACTTTGTGAAGGAGTAGTGACGGTGGCCCTGACACATGAAAATACACAAATGAATATTAAAAAACAAAAACAAAATAGAAACCAACAGCCTGAATTGCCTTACACTATGTTCCAATTGTAAAAATGTTACTCTTTTTTTCCGAAAAAAAGAGTAAAGAAAAACTTTTTCTTGCTAAAAAAAATACAAGTTTAACAAAAAAACACACACATACACACGCGAAACTCTGCCATAGTTGGAAAACAACTATATTTGCATATGCCAGACAGAGTGCCTTCAACATATGCAACACTATTTATGGTAATATTTCTCCAGCTATTTGCATTCATTCCGGTTTGCTTGAAAGTACTGTACACAAGGCTGTTTGCCGGTTTTTTATGTAAATTGATGTTTGTGTTATTTTTCCTGTCAACATGACTTGGCATCGATGACAAAAAAAATCCGATTTTTTTTATTGTAAAATCCAATACCCAATTTTATGATCCTAAAATGTGTTACCG